ACCTGCAGCTTACCGTCTCTCCATTTGTACGGTATCTAACAGTTTCATCTTCGGGTGCAGAGCTCAGACAAGTGCCCAATGCGCCTCCAATTCGAGCAATGAAGACTTCGAGCGGACTGAGGAATATTATAGACAGTACCACATGAGCCCAACCCATGTATGTAAAGCCCCACAGCAATGTGAGGACTTACATTTTGCTCCATTCAGACTATTCTTAGCCAAAAGCACCTAATAGGTCTCAGAAGTAGCAACTTCGTAAATCCTCCAGGTCTAGAGGCTTCGATTTGATTTCATTCAGTCATTTTTTCTATTTTTCAGTATCTGCATATTTTGGAAGTTTGCCATTTTGGGTTTCACTTCGGTAGCTGGGCGACAGTTCCTTTTTGAAGTTTTTGAACTTTCCCATCTTCACTACAATCAGTTTCAGGACTGAGTACCCTTTTTAGAGACAACTTGTCAACCATACACTTCTCCGACTTGGCCGTGTCGTTTGTTGGGCTGTCAGATGCAGCACTATGTCAATTGCAGCTCCAGCGCGAATTTGTAACTATATGTACTGAAACATGTTTGTAGTCTGACGGCAATGCTTTTTCATGTGCAGTTCGCTTGGCTATATTCCTTTAAAAGCCGAAGCAGGTGAGCAAAGTAGCAACTCAGGAAAATCAGTCCTACCCAACTTTAAGTATAAAGAAGCATAAAGGTGTTCTGGAAAGCAAATAAAGGTGTAACATGGCCCATTCCTGGTCGTAGGATCAGACAAAGCTCAAGCCCAGCCAACACACCTGTCAGAGTGGATTGATTACCACCAGCAGGTGTGTCACTAGGAACGCTAGAAGACAGGCATAAGAACATTTGGCCTTCGCAGTCATTTCACTTGGCTCTATTTATTCAAACGGTTACCGGATTCAGGACTATTCGAGAAGGGTTAAAGTTTTCTGACCGATTCACTTCTCCGTTATATAACTACAGCAATGCTTATGGGATGCGGGCTCTATGATCCGTGAGAGGGCAGTCCGTAACATTGCGTCATGGTTACGGTAGTGTTCCGAGGTCTAATGGTAAGCTCGGGATGGAGCTACTCCAAGGCAAGCAATTCTTACTTCCTGAAAACTCCTTCCACCAGGCCCTTGCCTATGTGAGCCTTGCCATAATGGTTACAGTAGTACTACGACACAATATAACACAACTGTCTTCTTCTTCCCACTTCTCCCTTGACACATTGTATCGGCAGAACTTTAAAGCTTTATAAAGCAAAATGATTGATTGTTTTATCAGCTCAATCATTAAAATCACGTGGTTGCGCTTCACCCTGGTTTTTTCCTTCATTAAAGCCACGAGTCAGGATTAGGTGACCATAGAAGGCCTTTCCATCACTAATATTTCCAGGAATGCGCTCAGAGGGGTGATGC